AGGACATTCTCTCATGCAAAGTATACTCTTGTTATGGGCTGAACTGTGCCATCCTAAACTCCCCCAGATCCATGTATTTAAATCTAAACCCCAGTGCCTCAGAGTATGACTGCAGTGGGAGATGGACCTTTAAACAGGTGTGTGTGTGTGCTCAGTCATGTCTGCCTCTTTGCAATACCATGGATTATAGCCCATCAGGTTCCTCTGTCCATGGAATTTTCCAGGCAAGAATACTGGAGTGGGTTGTCATGTCCTACTCCAGGGGATCTTCCAGACCCGAGGATTGAAACCATGTCTCCTGTATTGGCAGGCGGATTCTTTATCAACTGCACCACTGGGAAGCCCAGTAGGTCACATGGGCGGGCTCTAATTTGATCTGACTAGGATTCTTATAAGAAGAGGAAATTTGGACACACAGAAAGCCCAGGGAGGGGGTATCCACATAGAGGAACACAGTTTGGATTCTGGTTTTGTTGATGGATTAGATCAAACATGGAGGACAAAGAAAGGAGCCAAGGAAAACTTTAGGACTGGGGCTGTATTTTGGCAGGGGGAGGATCAGGAGGTATTTTTGGACATGTTACCTGTGAGCGCCTACTAGATACCCTTGGTAGAGATAGCAAGGGGGCACCTACATAAATATCTGAGTGTGGAGTTACGGAGAGAGGTGCAGACTTGAGACACCAATTTGGGACTTATCTGCTTGTGGGCAGCATTTAAAGCCGGATCCGCAGGAATTCTCTGGTGGCCCAGTAGTTAAGAATCCATCCTGCAGTGCAGGTGATGTGGGTTTGATCCCTGATGGCAGAACTAAGATCCCACATGACGCAGAGCAACTAAGCCAACAAGTAGAGATCCCAAGGGCTGCAACTAAGACCCAATACTGTTAAATAAATGAAAATTAAAACCAGAAGAGAGAACTAATCCCCCCAGGGAATAAGTGCAAACTGACAAGCTGACAAGAGAAGAGGCTCATGAACTGAACCCATGGCCCCATATTTAGATTTGGAAAGATGAGAAGGACCCAGCAAGGAGACCAGGAAGATGCCAGTGAGGCTGGAGGAGGACCAAGACCAAGGTGCTCCAGGAAGCCAGAGAAGAAAACGCCACCCAAAGCAAGAGAACACAGTTCTGGTCCTCTGTTGGGGCTGACACCAACACTGATCATGATTTCTAGAAACTTCCCCACTGTTCTTTAGGATGTTAGCAGGAGAAGACCTTTGGAAGAAAAAACTTTGAGGGGATCTTGGCACTGTGATGAAGAGGGGGTGGGTAAAATAAGTCCAAACAACAACAACAAAAATAATAAATACAAACATCCTGCAGTTACTAAGAACAGCAAACAAAGATTAAAGACCCTATTCTGTACCATTCTAAAAACCTTTCACATGTCAGGTCATCGAATGCTCACAGTGAACACACAGAACAAGCATTTGACCCCCTAATATGAGGAGGAAAGGGCTTCCCAGGTGACCTGAGTGGCAAAGAACCCATCTGCCACTGCAGGAGACACAAGAGACTCAGGTTCGATCCCTAGGTCAGGAAGATCCCCCTGGAGTAGGAAATGGCAACCCTCTCCAGTATTCTTGCCTGGAGAATCCCCATGGACCGAGGAACCTGGCAGGCTACAGTCCATAGGGTCGCAAAGAGTCGGATGCGACTGAAGCAACTTAGCACGCATTGAGAAGGAAATGGGCTCATAGAGGGGGTTACACAGCGGGGCAGAGGCAGCAGAGATTTAAACCTGGCTCTGCCCCCTGACCCCGCCCTGTGCCACAGCGCACCCCTCTTATGGCTTTCTGAGGGGTTCTGAGGGATTCCCTAAGAACCGAGGGGGAGGAGGAGGGGAAACAGTAGTGCTGCTCAGAGATTTCCCCTCTGTCAAGATTCCAGTGCTATAGGAAGTCTACAAAGTGAGACACAGACGTCTTTGAACTTGCCAGGCCGATTTAATTTGCTGTCTCTGTGTTGTTCCTGGCATGAGACTGCAGCTTGAAAGACTGCAATTTTAAAAGCCTGTTTGGGTGTATTCCTCAACTGAACTCCTCAACTCGCCTCTCTCCTGGCGGGAGTGGAGCCAGCAGGAGGCCTCAGTCAGACTCATAAATTCCCGCTTTATTGCTTACTCTTCCAGGACCAGGAAACCCACAAGCGGTCGTCCTGAATCTGATGTTGCCCTCACTCTGGTGTTTTATGAGGGGGGCAAGGGCATTGGAGACACCTGGGGCTTCAAGAAACAGGTGAGGGTTTGACCCTCAAGCCTCTACTCAAAAGACAATCACCTCCCAGACTTTGCTGTCGGCCCAGTGGATAAGAATCCGCCTGCATTGCAGGGTTTGATCCATGCTCTAGGTGGGTTTAGATTCCACAAGCCATGGGGCAACTGAACCCATGTGTCACATCTATTGAGTCTGTGCTCTAGAGCCCGGGAGCTGCAACTAGCCCAAAAGCACCCTATAGTTGGTGCTCCGAAACAAGAGAAGCCTCCGCAATGAGAAGCCCATGCATCAAAACTAGAGAAAGCCTGTGCCCAGCAACAAAAACCCAGTGCAGCCATAAATAAATAATATAAAAATAAAATAAAACAGCTAAGTTCTTAAAAAAAAAAAAAAGACAATCACCTCCCATCTCTCTGGCCCAAACCCCCATCTTCAGGTTTTTGTCAAGAGCTGTCAGAAAATCCCATGCCAATGGATGCACAGCACTCCCTAGTCATATAGCTCCCGATTAGGTACTATTGCGCTTAAAAAATAAAATGGAACCTGACTTGGAAACAAAATGTGTTTTATAGAAGTTTACTTTATAACTATCTTTGCAGAAACCTGTCTATTCCACAATTAAATAAGTAAGGCATGCATGGACTTATTTTTGTTCAGTGAAAAGTAGAGTCCTCAGCATGGTTCTTTGCAGGCCGGTAATGAATTTCATAACCAAAAACTGAGGACAATCAATCCAGATGTTTAACTATTTGAGGAGGCAAAACCCAACCAAACCTATTCTCTCTCTTAAAAAAACAACTATTACATGTTATCATGTTACAAAAGAGAAAATCTTCAAGAATTTTGATTATCAAAGATCCACCTAGAATGTGCCTTTTTTTAAATCTGAATTTTTTATTTGACAGTTCCTTTCAATTATGGAATAAATTACGGAATAAAATCTTTTTAAAGCTGCATGTATGAGCACAAAATAGTCATGGAGATATATATAAAAAGTCATGACTTTGATCATATGTCATCAGTTTATTTTTTTGTTAGAATCTGAGAAAACAATAAAAAGCAGTCTTCCATCATTATTAAAATTGTCTATGGAAATAATAAAAGTTATTTAAAGTAAAGTAATTGATGATATGCTTTAATTGCGGATAATTTCTCCTTAGTAAATTACTAGACCAGAGAGTGACTTTTAAAAATCAGATTTGGGGAACTTCCCTGGTGGTCCAGTGGCTAACATTTTGCACTCCAAATGCAGGGGGCCTGGGTTCGATTCCTGGTGGGGAAGCTAGATCCCACATGCCACAACTAAGAGTTTGTATGCCACAACTTAAAAAAAAAGATCCTGCATGCTGCAACCAAAGCTACCATGTGCCAACTAAGACCAGGCTCAGCCAAATAAATAAATAAAAATAAACAGTAAATAAATAAATAATAAAAATAAGATTTTTTTCCCCTACTCTCAATGCTTAGGCCTGGCAATGTCAGTAGTTAGTTATGGGATCTGGGAAAGTCACACCCATTCTGAATCTCACTTGAGAAATAGGGATAAGACTAGTTATTTCACAAGAATATTATAACAATTAAATGAGAATATGTATATGAAAGTGCTTAATGTTAATATTATTAACATTGCTACCTACTCCTAATAAAGTGAGAATCTCTAAAATGCCTTCTAAAATAATAAGATTTTATTATTAAGAATTAATTATTAAAGAGTTTAAAGAGTCCTTTCTGAGACAAATACTGAAGTAGTTTAGGATGAAATGATGTAACATCTGAGATTTACTTCAAAATAATCCAATGGGAACAGAAGGTTTGTATTTTGAGTATCGTTCAATTGGGTTATGGGTGCATCAGAGCTTTTTTTTAACAAACATTTTGTCTACATTTATGTTTGAAATTTTCACATTGAGAAGAAAAAAAGCAAAGGGGAAATCGAAGGGCAATTTCTATTATTTAGTCCAAGTGCTACTTAAGACTGGTTTTGGGGAATTCCCAGAAGGTCCAGCATTTAGGACTCCACGCTTCCACTGCCTAGGGCCTGAGTTACATCCCTGGTCATGGAACTAATATCCTGCAAGCCATGTGACATGGCCAAAAAAAAAAAGACTGCTTCTCATGAAAACCTGGCTATTAAAAGAAATGGTAGGGATTTTAAATGAATGTCAAAATGCGTAAGAATTTAAGGACTTGATAATTTGATTATGTTTTGGAATAATCTTTTAACTTATTTTTAACTAAAGGAAAGCCATTTTAATTAAATGTTAGGGGGAAAAATCATATTTACTACATGACTTAAGATTATTAATGATGGGAATTCCCTGGCAGTCCAGTGGCTAGGACTCAGCATTTTCAACCACATGGCTTGCAGGCACAGGATGGATTCCTGGTCGGGGAACTCGATACCACAAGCTGCACAGCCAAATTAAAAAAGATTATTAATAATTTTGGGGGGGAGGGCCATATTTCTTGGCATGTGGAATCTTAGTTCCCCAACCAGAAATCGAATCCACGCCCCTTGCAGTGGAAGTGTGGAGTCCTAACCACTGGACAGTCAGGGAAGTCCCTCAGAGATTTTTTTTTCCAAAAGAAATTTCAGGATATGTTAACAATTTTCTATTTTTTAAGATCCCAATATTCTATCATATCTGTTATAGCCAATTAAGCACATAGTTACATATCAATATTTCAAATGGTGAGATATTTGCTACTTCACTGACAAACTCTGTCACTAACTAAAGAGAATTTAACAGTAGCAAGTACATAATACATTCCTTTCCTTACCCTGAAGATGTGACTTCTCTAGGAAGTCTTCATGAGTTTCTTTTGTTTCTCCAGGTTTTGTTGATCGATACTCACTCCTCAGAGAGATCTTCCACCATCTAAAAATTACCTGCGATTGAACAGACTGAAGGTGAGATGAGTTAAAACCAATTGCAACGCCAACAGCTGAATTTAGGTCTGGGGTCTTAAAAAAAATCACTATCTTGGAAGGCACATAAGGCTGTGTGTCCAACATCAGCCGTAACTTTGCAAACTGGCATCACATCAAATTAAAAGTGAGGTCCGTGCATCAGGACATATTTTCCTTAGAGATTAGGGGCACAAAACCAAAATGCTGGAAGGAATCTTAAAAAACCTATCAAGTCAATTGGTGCTTAAATCACCCACAGAGGAAAGGACAGGTGTTTCTGAGAACACAGATTCTTTACCTACAGGAGCCAATTCCAAAGTAATTGCTTGGTTCTCCCCCTCCTCCCTGTCCTGTCTACCAGAAAGACACAAGGAATGGATATCTTTCTCATGGAGAATGACAGGTACTTAGACAGAGCCAGGAAAAACACCATCATGCCTTGACTGATGCATCGAAGTGTCATTACCCAGGACACGTCTTGGTAATGGATCTGATAATGGTAATCTGATAATGCATTTGACTGATGCATTATTGTGTTAATGATAATCTGATAATGCATTTTGGTTTATCAGAAGCAACCTCACTCCCACAATTATGGACTGCACTTACATTCGGTGTTGATTTCATGACAGTGAACTCTTTCTGCACTAGGGTTCCCAGGGAAAAGATGGGTAAGGAGATAGACAGTACTGAGAAACTGGTTGGCTTCCCAGTTCTGGGTTCTTCCCTCACTGGCATTACCATGTCAGGTTAAAAATGAGCTCAAGTTTCTACTCAAGGAGAAAGAGTTAAGCAAGGGAAACTCACTAAGAGGCCTCCCTTTGTTTAGTTTCCTCTCACCCACCCTATCCATTCAGCACTCCTGGTGGGCCTCACAGATCCTGGTGCACCTCCCTGGGCCACTGCCCTGGTCTCTATCCATTCTCCTCTCTTTTCTGGAGGTCCTTCCTGGTGCTGGTCTGGGAAGCCCATCCCTGCAGCCTATGAACTGCATAACTTCTATTCCTCCTCACTCCTTTCCCCTTGCCTGTGGGTCTGGGCATCAGCCAGCTTTCCTCCCCTTCAAGAGTTGCCTCCAAATGCCCTAACATCTCCTGAGGTACCCCTCCCCACCTCCCCAACCACTCCCCATTTCTGATTTCTGAAAGATGGCACAACTCTCTCTCAGGAGGGAAGAGACCCTTCATGCCATCTTACCTAGCTCCCTGCCCAAAAGAAAGTAGGTCCTCAGAAAATACTCATGGGATGAACTAAAGAGTGCTTTTCACTTAGATTTTATTGCTAATCTCTACGGGAGCTTCCCTTGTAGCCCAGTTGGTAAAGAATCCGCCTACAATGCAGGAGACCTGGGTTCCATTCCTGGGTCAGGAAGATCCCCTGGAGAAGGAAATGGCAACCCACTTGTGTTCTTGCCTGGAGAATCCCATGGACAAAGAGCCTGCAAGCTAAAGTCTATGGGGTCACAAGAGTTGGACATGTCTTAGCAACTAAAGTACCACCACAGGAGCTGAGGGGAAAATATGTACTTAAGCTACAGAGCTCCATAATCTCACAAAACTGAGGTAGCTGAAAATCCCTTAGCCTTCCTTTTTTGTTTTTTTCCCGGCATAAGGCTCACCAAAATCATCCTCTTAGGCATCTTTCTGTCCCATCTGCATGAAGTTAAGGGTTTATCAGCCTCCTAGGGCTGCCATAGAAAAATACCACAGACTGGGGGCCATGAACAATAGAAATTTATCCCCTCACAGTTCTGGAGGCAGGAAGTCCAGGATCAAGGTGTTGGCAAGTGTGGTGTCTCCTGAGGCCTCTCTCCTCGGCTTGCAGGTGACACCTTCTCACTGTGTCCTCACATGGCCTTTCCCCTGAACATGGGCAACCCTGGCGTCTTTTCCTCTTCCTTAAAGGACACTGGTCCTGTTGGACTAGGGCCCCATCCTTATGACCTTATTTAACCTTATTTAGTTCTTGAAAAGTCCTATCTACAAATACAGTTTTCAACATAAGAATTTTAAAAGTGTGTCAGTCACTCAGTCACATCCAACTCTTCACGACCCCATGGACTATCATCCTCCAGGCTCCTCTGTCCATGGGATTTCCCAGGCAAGAATATTGGAGTGGGTAACCATTCCCTTCTCCAGGAGCTCTTCCCGACCCAGCATTCAAAACTGGGTCTCCAGGATTGCAAGCGTATTCTTCACCATCTGAGCCACCAGGGACACAATTCAATCTATAACAAAAGGGTGTCAGGGGTTACAGGAGAAGAACATGAATCTTGGAGCAAAGATAGACCTAGCCCATTTATTTAATCTCTCTGCACTTCTATTTTCCTTTCCATTTCCTTCTATTAAGTATCATTAAAATTAATATTAAATATTATGACAAATATTTCCTTTCTATTGGATGAAGATGCCAGGTCATTTGAATCTAATGCTGTGTTCTTTATACACATAATCTAGAACTTGTAGGACTAATTGTGAACTCAGAAATAATTCAGTCCATTTTCTGCCACTCATCTGAATGAGGAAAACACTTTAAAGAGGTTAAGTCAGAAATGATAGGTGTCCCTCCTTACATTCCCAGTGAATTTAAAGCTTTTGCCTGGACATGAAGGAATTCAGAGATGAAACGATAGGTGAAAAGTGACTTTATTTAGAGAAAAACACACTTCACAGACAGTGTGAGCCATCTCAGAAGTTGAGGGGCCCCACAATATGGCATGGTTAGTTTTTATGGGCTGGGTAATTTTCTAATGAATGGGAGGATTATTCCAACTATTTGGGGGGAAGGGGGCAGAGATTTCCAGGAATTGGGCAATTGCCCACTTCTGACCTCTTATGTTTGGCCTCAGAACTGTCATGGTACTGGTGGCTGTCATTTAGCATGCTAATATATTACAGTGATCTGACAATGAAGCTCAAGGTCCACTAGAAGTCGACTCCTCTGCCATCTTAGATCTAGCTGGTTAACCAGTTTGCCATGTCCCATTCTTCTAAAGGTTGTGCCCTGCCCCCTCCCCTCCTGCTTCACCTACAACCTACACCTACCAGATGTTATCTTACAACTGAATTCTGACAGAAGAAAGACATCGCAGGAGTCCAAAACATGTTTCTGGAAGCTCAGTGGAGTGCCCCGCAGCCCCAACCCACTTTAACATTCTATGGGAAACGTCACGGGAAAGTTTCTCTTTGGGGCAAGTGCACCTGTTACAATGATCTAATCAGCTACCCCTCCAGCCAGATCAAGCAACTGTATTGTTGGTAAAATGGAGATTTTGGAACACATGGAGCTCTAGACAGGGTGCGACTCCAGAAACATTTGATTACTAAGCTTACTTATGTTGTTCAGAAAAATGCAGAAAGACACCTTACAGCCTTACTTGTCAGCTTCATATCTTGCACATCAATCATTTCCTCAATTGAAAATTATTTCTGACATTCCTTCTGCTAATTAATTAAACCCTCGGGACTGATTTCGAAGGCAATATTTGAAGCGCTTGCTGTAACAGCCTCAGGAGGGAGCCTCCTCAGGGCACAGGCTCCAGTCACCTTGCAACACAGACAAGCATCCTACTGGCTCCTCTGAGGTATTTAAAGTAAATGCCTGAGAATAGAACGCTTGCCTAAGGAAACGCGGCTGACTGGAACCAGAAGCCAGCCTCCTCACTCCTCACTCGCAAACACAGGGCTTGTTGTGAGTCACAAAGCTCTCTTTACATATCTACATATCTTTACATATCTACACTGTTCCACGTATCAGAGCGGTACATAGGAATCTGATCCTCGGAACCATAACTGAGCCTGGTCAGGACTCTATTTTGTTAGGTGGTAAAACTTGTTAAAAGGACTACCCTGGTGGTCTAGTGATTAAGAATCCATCTTGCAATGCAGAAGACACACGTTTGATCCCTGATCAGGGAACAGATCCTACATGCCGCAGAGCAACTAAGCCTGTGTGCCGCAACTACTGAAGGCTATGTGCTCCAAGCCCATTGCTGTTGTTCAGTCGCTAAGTCATGTCTGACTCTGTGACCCCATGGACTGCAGGGGGACATGGCAGGCTTCTCTGTCCATCACCATCTGTCTGAGTTTGCTCAAGCTCATGTCCATTGAGTCAGTGATGCTATCCAACTGTCTCTGTCGGCCCCTTCTCTTGCCCTCAGTTTTTCCCAGCATCAGGGTCTTTTCCAATGAGTCGGCTCTTCGAATTAGGTGGCCGAAGTACTGGATCGTCAGAGCCCCGTGCACCAAAAGATCCCGAATGATGCAAGAAGATCCCCCGTGCCGTAACTAAGACCCAATGTGGCCAAATAAATATTCTTTAAAAAACTTATTAAAACAGAAAAAGATACTAGACATTGTCTCTCAAATTAGTTAAGCTTTTTTTAAGTGACGAAACTCAAGCCCTCACACTCACTGAGAGGAGTGTAAACTGGCTTGATAATACCTCCCCCAAACCTTGAAATCATCCATGCCCTTGGACCCAGACATTCTGCTCTTAAAGAATTTATCAGAGATGTAGATGACATTTTTTATATTAGAAAGTTTGTTGTAGTCTAACTATGTGTGTGTGTTAGTCACTCAGCTGTGACCCCATAGACTGTAGGCTGCCAGGCTCCTCTGTCCATGGAATTCTCCAGGCAGAATACTGGAGTGGGCTACCATTCCCTTCTCCAGGGTATCTTTCCGACCCAGGGATTGAATCTGGGTCTCCTGCTTTGCAGGCAGATTCTTTACCATCTGAGCTACCAGGGAAGCCCATAGGCTAATTATAATAATGAAAAATCAGTGCTGACTTAAGGGTTCAATATTTGGGAGTAATTAAATAATCATGGCACATTTAGATGATGGAATACTCTGTCATTATTTATGCCAATAAAATAATTTGTGAAGAAATGACTAATAACACAGATCACTGTTAACAATCACTGGTCAAAAGGCTTAAAAGGATGGCTCCAAATATTTAAAGGAAAATAATATGTG